AAATTAGAGATGCAACATACAAATATTTGGAATTTAGCCTATCTGCTGAAAGCAGAATATTCATTTCAGACGAATAAAGGAAGCGTCTGCAGAAGACAAAATTTAGTTCGTTTGCATCTGTCTTTCTCCCCCCTCCTTGTCCTGGGAAGGGTTTATTCGATTAACAAAACAATAATGAAGATAAAAAAATTTGTGAAGGGTCCGATTAAAAGATAAATTATTTTGTGAAGGGTCCGTTTTTATTAAAAGATACTTTGTGAAGAGTTCGTTAACGGACCCAAATTTCTTCTAAACAGACCCCTGGTTAGCCCAAAAGTGTTAGCTCTATTACAATTCCAGGCGATATAATGTGCGTTAAAATCATCCATTATAATAATTGGATTGTTATAATTTAGAAGATTTGTAATATCATTGTTTGGAAAGATGACTCTATGGGGTGTGCTCGGTAGGTTTTTGTACGGGGGAATGTATATGGAGATAAAGGTGGTTGGTGCATCGGGCTGTAGAAAAGTTTTGACAATTGTGGCTTCTGAGTTAGTAAGAGTAGGTGTATTACTGAATTGGTGTGGTATATTATTATTGCTTATAATCGCAGTGCCGCCTGGTTGACAGAATCTGGCAGAATTCGTTGAGTTAATTCAATCATTTCTATATATAGTGTAGTTTCTAATTTTAAAGTTTTGGTAAGGTTTTAGGCGTGTTCTTGTATTAAAATTAAACCAGGTGTGTGTATGTCAATAAAAACTCTTTAATTCATCTATTTTATTATAGACGCAATTCGCGTTCCAAGTGATAATATTGAGAAGAATTTTTTTGTGGCCATATAAGAGGAATTTAGTTAGTAGGGTTGATAGTTTCAAGAAGAGAAAATAGTTTATTAATGGGGTTATCAATGTTAGCAAGCTGTGGGAGAACAGTTACCATTTAGTTAATAAGATCTCGAAAGGATTTATCATTGAATAGTTCGTTGATCAGTTGCAGGGAGTTTAAAAAATTATGGGGTGGGAGTTCATTAGTGTTGAGGATTTGTTGGGGGTGGTTGGGTTGAGATGGAGTGGAACAAGCTGTGACGTGTGCGTAACTTGGATGATTTAGGGGTGGTAAACAATTAATTAAACAATTAGAGGTGAAGTGGTCACCTCCACATTTAACACATTTTGGAGGCATCTGGCTAGAGTGTCTCCACAGTTGACATCTATGGCATTGGGAAATAAGGGAATTATTTTTGAATTTGGTTTGAAAGAACCCAAGTTCTGTAAAATCTAATAATTTTATTCGCATGGGGAGTATTCTCCATTTTAATAAGCAAGAGGGGGAGTAAACGGCGATCTCCTTTTGGGTACCGCATTTGCATTACCTCAATAGGTAGGAAATTAATCTTATTCAAATCATTATTTTTTGAGGGTCAGTACTGATTGGGAGCCCTCTGAGAACAAATTTCAATGGCCTGGTGTTGATTATGTAGTGATTTATCTCTGGTTCTACGAGGAATTTAGTAGTGAGCCTATGTCGCTCTGGGGTGTTGGTAAATATTTTGAGATAATTATCATCTGGTTTGAAAGTAATTTTGAAATTGAGTGAGTCATTAAGGTATTCTAGCATTGGAGGAATATGGTTGATCAGTTTGCAGCATAATAGCTGGTGGTTTGGAGGGGGATTTGTTGGGGGTGAGTTGTGATTATTAATGGGGGTATGGTTTAGGGGAGGGTTATTACAATTAGGATCGTCAGAGCTAATGTCGTTAGTATTAGAAATATTGTGGAGGGAAGAATTGTATTCGTTATCATTATTATTAAGGTCCATAAGGGGCGAAAAAGAGTTTTGAATATTAGAAATCCTCTAGGGAAGAGAGGATCCACCCTCTCCCTTAGAGAAGGGTGTTAAGTTAACGGTTTGCCTGAATTTATTTTGCAACATTCTCCTTATAAGATTCAGATAATGTTTAACGGCTAAGAGAAGGGGGTGACGAGTTTTGAATGTGAGTATTTCATTAAGATGATGATTAATAGCCGGATCAAATTGGTTTACAATATAGGGAACAGTAGTATTGTCGAAATCAGAGCCAATATGGTAAGGATAAGCATTATTGACAAAACAATAGTTGCCCAGATTAATAATAGAGATATTTAGGTTTGAGAGGGGCTTACCCATTTCCTGAAATATGGAATTTGCTATGACATGTATGTTAGAGAGATTATCCCTGAGTAAAGATCTCTTTACACATTCACAAAGTTTGTGTATGCAGTCAATTGTTACTGGTAATGGAATGTCTTTTATGGAAGCAAAAGTTCGTACGTTTTCGTAGTTTGCTATAATACCATAGTTCAAAATATGTTCGTATATATAAAATAAAACATAAGAAATCCCATCGAGTCCGTATATTTCAGGTAGGGGAGATCATCACAGTGGGGGAAGAAAAGATCCTTTCCTTCTATACCCGGGAGGAGGAGGAACGCCGTCTCGCCTGGTTGCTTTGAGGAAGCTATTCCTTCTTCCTGCATGGAGGGAGGGTGACAGGGGGGGGGGTGGAATTATCTGCAGGTGTTCCCTCGTTAGATGATTCTCCTTTGTTAGAGTACCTATTGTGTAGTTTGTTGATCTTTTGTAAGTCCACATTTCCGTAAACAAGAAGGGAAGTGGAAGATGCTATTTAGTTTGGAGAGTGAAGTTTTTGTTGATATCCAGGATTGTAACTAGAGGAAGGAGGAGAGGAAGTCGGGAGAAATTCCATTTGTTGAGTGAAACAGGCGGGTGGAGGGCTTTCTCGATGTAATTCATTAATATCCATAATGAGTGGAGGGGAATTGGTATTTCTTGAGGAAGCCCCGCTTTATGGCATATTGGATGCGAGATGGTTCGGTGAGAATGAGTGGTTGGCCTGAGGTGAGTGCCGTGCGTCTTTAAACATGATCCTGGAGGGGGAAGAACGAAACTAGCAGCGTTATAGCGGAGAGAGGAAAAACACGTCCTCTCTCTTCAAAAGCTGAGCTGGGAATCTCTCCAGAACAACCCAGTTTCATCGGCATTGTAGTGGCATTTCATCGGCACTAAATCTGAAGAGCACCTAACTTCAGACACAATGATCGTAAATTCCTCTACAAACAATTCTGCATTTTCAATATCTGCCAGCACTTTATCACATGAAATGCTTAAAATTGTGATTCCGTGTCGCTTCTTAAATTTGTTAAACCACCCCGAAGAATAACCACAACCAGTTTCCAGTTCTAAGAGTTTATGAAACTCTTTCGTTTGCTCCATTATAATTGTCCGATTCAAAGGAATCCTTTCGTCACTCCTTTGCCTTATTTATCCATTCCATCAAAACTTCATACAAATCTTTATTTTTGAAACGATGCAAAGTTTTTCGCTCGTTCATTAGCTTGTGAGAATCACTTTTGGCAAAAAATTCCAAAATTGCAGCTTTTTGCTTTTCTAAGTCGTAAATCGTTGAGCTTACAACGCCATATTACTAACGAAGCTTTTTTGCAGGTGTTCCACTAAATAGTAAGACAAAAAACTAAGAAATAATATCTTCTTCTTCAGGGCGAGATCTTTGTTCTCGTTTTTTCTTTTAGATAACATTTTGTTTTAACAAAAGATGCTCACCTCACAAAAAAAAGGGTTAACAAGGAACTACAAAAAAAAAAAAAAATATATGATAAGAAACTAACAATGAATAACTACAAGAAACAAGCTAACAACTAATAACGATTAAAAAAAACAAGCTAACAACAAATAACAATAAAAAACAAGCTAACAAATAACAATAAAAAACAAGCTAACAAATAACAATAAAAAACAAGCTAACAATTAACAAAAAAATACAAATTAACAGTTAATGACTAATAAAAATACAAAAGAAAAAAACAAGGGATGCAAGAGAAAGAAAGAGCTGCACAAGAGTAAGGACACTATAGCAATGACAAGGAGACTCAAAGACAGAATTCATTTTGTACCCCATGTGGTAGTTTCAATGCCAACTGAGTGAGGCCAATTTTTATGGTCAAAGAAAGGAGAGGGAAATGTGGAGACAAACCAGTAGAGCATGTGCACAGCTGTTAAGATTGATTGATCAGCTTCTCCAAACTTGCATTTCTTTATTTTGTTCATTTTGTTGTTTTATTTTGTTTGGTAATGCAGGTGTTTTTACTTTCACTTTATTTTAAACTTCTTTAGGAACAGATGTTTCATTTGTCACAGTTTATTATTTTTCTTAATGTTTTTATTTTTAAAAGATAAAATCAAGTTACTTATTTTAACAGAATAAAATTCCAAATAAAAAGAGAATATAACTGATTTTTTTTCCTCTTCTCAATAAAAAGTTCTTAAAAAAAATAAATTTCATCGGATTTAGTATCCCATACTGTAATATCTAATTAATATATATATGTAATATCTATAGAAACGAGATGGCAGATCTTCTTGCTAAAACAGGAACAGGTATTTTAGAGAGCTTCCAGAGAGAAATTCCATACTCTTACTCTTCCATAAATAGAATAATTAAAAACACGATAAACGAGCTATGAAAATAATTTAAATGAACAAATTGGTGACAAGGTCTGGTGGGAGACTCTGAATAAGATCCCTGATCACCCGAGCGGTTGCTGCCTTTAGGTTGGAAATCGGACATGACTGCCTTGGCGCTCGCCTCCATAGACTTGAAATCTTTCCCAATCGAACTGTGCCTTGTCCAGGGCCTCCCCAAAAAAGGCTGATCACGTGGGGGTTTGCCCCGCAGTTAGTGGCAACATTTACGACAGATACTTGAATGCTAGGGAACAGTTGCAGGCACTGCTAACTGACTGATTTTCTGTTTATATTTCTACTGTTGATATTCTATTTAATGTTTCTTTGTTCTAATTGTTTTTGTATTTCGAATGTTTTAATTTTTTTAAATATTTGTTGTTATTCCTTATGGGTCTGTGCAGAGTGTTTTTACACTCCAGCGAATGATGTACACATCAAGTGCTAGAAATGAAAAAAAATAAATAAAAAATAACCTTTTTGGCTTTGATAAGATAATAATGAGCATTTAGTTTGTATTCATCCCCTTGAATATAATTCATCCAACCAAGCAAGTACCAGACTTGAACAACTTCATCATCTTCTTCAATAAGGCCATCAAGCACTTTAGTTGCCTCCTAAAATTAAAGAACAAAATTAAATAATAGCAAGCGGAGAGCACATCAAGTCTCGCACATAGAAGTGGGGAAAAAATGGCTTGTGAATTTTCTATTCTGATTTGAGAATAATAAAACAAAGAATAATGAAGAATAATTTGTTTTTTCCTGTAGAAATTTCGACTCTATTTTTTTCATCCAGATATTACTACTGATTTCCACATAGCTTTTAAAATCCGACATTTTTAATACAATATTTTTTATCACAACTGAATCTTGAAATGAAAACACGCATTTAGTAACTCTTTTTCGAAGAGTACAATTTGCGTGATTTCGACATCGATAGTTTTTCCGTTAGTTCTTGTTATAGATTTCGCGAATTTTTTTAATGTGTCCTTAATGCGATGACGAATTACAAAATGTGAGAACATCGCCCATAATATTAGAATAAAAAATATTTTACATATTCAATTAAAAAAATTACTTTATATGATCCGATTTATTTATTTATTTTCTTGAAGTTCAACTTAAAGTTGCTTCTGCTACTTTAAATTAGTAACATGTATGTTTGTTATTGTTAAGTACCTTGTAGAAAGATATTAGCATTAGAGAGGTATGTCACAGAAAGCCCAAAAAAATTCTGCCACAGGGTGTTTGACATAAAAGTTTAGCATATTTTAAAAACAAAAAGCCTATAACATGAGAAAAAAATCCCTGTTATTAATAGTAAATTTGATGAACAAATTAAGATGAGCAAATCTGACTTCATTGCCAGAAAATTTCATTTTAAGGTAAAAAAATTAAGGAACAACACAACTTTGGGCCAAAAGCTGGAAAAATCTTGCAACAAAACTTGAAAAATAACCAATTTCAAAATAAATATGCCTCACATCTATTTTAATTACTTCTTGTAAAAATTCTATTATATATTTAAATTCTTTTTTATTACAGTACAAAACCCGTTATCCGGAAATCAGAAAACCGGAAAACCAAAAAACCGGAACGAAATTCGATAAATTTTCCCGCGATTTTTTTAAAAAGATTTTTTTTTCTTCAAAAGATTTTAGGATTTTTCTTTCTTTTTTGAAAGATGTTTACCTTACCATCAGTTTAGAAATAATCATTAGTGTATTACTTCATCGTCTCTTCTTTTTAAGATAATTTCCAAATATATATATATTTTTTTAGTTGGGTTTAACGATAAAAAAACGGCTTTTTGTAGCGATTCAGAAAACCGGAAAAATCAGTTATCCAGAATAGCGATGGTCCCGATCGTTCCGGATAATCGGTTCCCTACTGTATTAGAATAATTTGTGAAAAATACATTCTATTTAAGAATTTCCTGTTCCAAATTTTTCTTAGTATAGTTAAACTAAAAATATGGTTAGATCTAAGTTTTTTAAAATTAAACTTTCTGTATAAATTAGTTCAGCAATTAATATAACTGAAGTGACTCTTAATAAGCTATATTTCATTAAATTTTTGTGTACAATATATTTTATCTACAATTTATATACTTGAGTGTTATGAAACCAACTTGTTAAACCTTTGCCTAGTGAATTTTTTATTTAATTATCTACTTTTTTTTACAAAATTTAATATTTTAATCAAAATGTAACTTTTGTTGCTTTTTGAATTTAAAAGAAAACTATTATATTTTTAATGAAATAATGTAATCTGAAATTTTCCTAGAGAAATTTAGTTTCTAAAATTAAGTGGAAACCATGTCAATGCAAAATCGTTGTGGAGCTGTAGTTTCTATATATATATATAAAAAAAATGAATAGCAACACAAGATAGCATGCATAAACTTCTGCCTGCTCAAAAATATATATACATATATACTTACATCATACAGTTCCAATTCAATTAAAAGCTGGGAAATCTTTATACGGCAGTCATAAGAGGGAATATTGTCCTAAAAATTAAAAATGGTATTAGAAATTGCAGTGACAATAAGTTGCAATGCCTTACTACAACAATGTTAGCTTACTACAAATATAATTTGAAACAAACTTTATTCTTTAGTAAAGTAGAATATGGGATATTATACCTTGTGCTTAACTAATTATGTAAAGAAAACATGAAACATACATCCAAAAACTTATTTTCTTCATGCAGTCTTTATTTCTTATTGTCTCCGTAATAACTAGAATATGTATTATTAATTTCAGGGATCTGGTATACAGGGATCTGGGAATAAAAATTTAGCAATCAACCTAATACAGATGGATGAAGGAAATTAACATAATTGTTGAAAAAGCTGAAAAATTTTGACTATTTTTTTAAAAAAAAGTTACTGAATACAGTCAGATTTGTACAATACCATTTATTTAATGGTAATGAATCACAACTAAATATTTACACTCAATAATTTTTTTTAACTAAAAGTAATATTTTATTGTCATTATTAAATATTATTTAGGTACTTTTTCATTACAGCGGCACAAATTTCGCCAAGCAGACTTGTTGGCGACAGCACACAGCCGCCGGAACAAATCACACAAAGCAGACTTTATTAGTCGCAACACACAGCATACACATAAAAAAAAACAGTTAAATAAATGGTTCAATTCTTCTTTATTTATTTCGGAGACATAAAAATTTTAACATTGCTTAAATTTTTTTCAAATGGGTCCTCCGTTTGCCTTCTCCACATAAATTCAGCAAGATAACTTTCAAGATAATGGCGCGTCGTTCCTCTGTGTTTCTCATTTCGCCATTTAGCACTGCCCCACAGTCTCTCTATTTTTTGCGTGTGCGCTCCAGTTTCCGGATCGACAAAGTTGTATTTATGGTTCACTTTGAAATACTCGAAGCTTTCATCTTCCAACTTACTAGTGCAGTACAAATTCTATGAATCGGAATATATTATAGTTTCTTTTTCGATATTTTCCTTAATTGCCTTCAATAACGTGGATCGGTTTGCACTTCCACAAGGAAACATTCGTTCGTTTTCCGACAAACTCCACTGAAGATCCATTGTTGTGGTTGTAGGGGAAAATGTAAACAAATAGAAATGTAAACAGTATTTTCCTCTTGGCTGTGTCACTTCCTGTGGGAAGTTGGGTCACTTCCTGTGGGAAGTTGGGTCACTTCCTACGGGAAGTTGGGTCACTTCCTGTTATCTCAGCTAGAAGGAAGTGGGTGTTTCTGGTCTTAGTTAGATATATCTTTGCTTTGGTTAGAGGATGTTTCTTCTCTTATGTTATGTTTAGAAAGAGCTATGTGATGTTAAAGAGTTATGTTTAGTTTATTTGAATGTAGTTTTTCTTACTTTATATTTAAAGATTTATATTCAATAAATATAGTTGTACCTTTTCCATGAAGTGAATTTTTGAGTAGTAATAGATGTCTTCAATATATTATACTTAGTAAGCTGGCTCCTATTTTTCAACAGTGGTGGAATCAGCGGCGCGTTGTTTTTTTTTCGCTTCGTAAACAAACTTTTGTCCACTTCGACGATCATGCCAGGTCCTCCTATTTTCCGTTGTTCGCGTTTAAGCAAAGAATTTCCACAAACCTCACGCTTGAGGTTATTCCTGTCTACAACTGCTCTGTGACTGCTTTTCACACCATTTAACTGTTAAGTTAAATGGTAAAGTTAATTCTTTGCGCCAACAATAAATAGGTTAGACAAATAGAGGCTAAAAGGTATGAGGTTCGATTTTCGGTCGTCAATCTCATGCATTCAACTTGCGTCGGTGACGTCATGGTCTGCGGGGACCGGCCAGTTTATTTTCATTTGCTGTTGGTCGTTCTCGCATGGATCATGACGTCACCCGTTATCTGTATTTAAGCTTCTGTTGAAGCAGATCATTTGGGTATTCTTTCTTTTCGTCACTCTGTTTCTGACATTTTTTATTACTAATGCTTTTAAATAAATTCATTTCTTCAGAAACTTTGCTTCTCCTTTTTTTGAGTTTTTGACATACCGATATGATATTCTGAGAGAATCTCGGATGTCAAAATAATCACTTCAAAAAGCCCAATTTTGATTATTGAAACCTTAACGGATACTTCTGTTAATGCGACAAGATGAAAGGTTGCAGCACCATTGAATTTCATCACTGATATACATCCAGAAAGCATGTAACCTTACGGCAGCCTTGTGTTGGAATTTTCTTTTTATTGTCATGAAAATGTTTGTACTAAAAACCTTTTTCCAATAAAGTAAAAATAATGGAGTTTCAAACTTTTCATCCTAAAAGGATCAAAAATTACTTTTTAAAAAGTATTGTCATTTAAATAAAATGGTCACTTAGGTCCATAATGACGTTCTAGCTGACGTCACACTAGCGATAGGATCATATGGCATTGTCCATTAAAATTTCACGACAAGGTGGATTTTATCTAAGCATACAAGACTTTGGGAAAAGAAATCTTATAATTACCTAGATTTAAGATTATTTTCACCATGAGACTAGTTTGATTAAAGGATTTTTTCACGCTTGAAAATCCTAAGTCTACCTCCATTTAAGGTTTTAACATAGAAAGTTGTTTTCTAGGGTTTTGGAGCAGATTGTCACAGATCTCGTTTTCATGTTTACACGTAAACCTCATGACTAACCTTTTCAGGATTACATTAAAAGGTTTTTGCTCAGTAAAAATAAAACCATTTTTTGCTCTCTGGGACAAGTTCATTTCATGATTCATATCACAAGTTGCGATTTCAGCCAAAATGCCTTTCTCTCGAAAGAATCAGGCCGCTTCTTCCTCTGCTTTGAGCAAAGCACAAATTATCGTTGCTTTTTGCGTTAATTTTTCGTATTAAGAAAAAGACGTGACTGATAAAAAAAATGGCTACGACTTATTTTGAAAATGTGGCGGCAAAAGTTGCGTTGGTTGTATTATTATCGGCGACTTTTCGCCTGTGCCGATATAATGGAAAATACCATTATTTACCTTACTACTGTATGCTGCAATTGCATTAAAAATTATAAATATGCATAAGCCTCTGAGTATATGCAACAAATTCATTTTTCTAACAAATTTTGAATCTAACCAAATTTTTAGTGAATACTACTGTCTTAGTTAATAGGCATTGTTGAAAACAGATAGTTTGTTACCCGTGTATAGCGAGGGACTCAGGAAAACATATAAATGCCTATTAAATTCAATTGTTTGATACATCAGAATTCAAGGTTAACATTAAACAAATTAACATACAAAAAACACAAGTAATAACATATTGAAATGTTTTTTTCTCCTTTATCTGATAGTTTTAGAGCTTTACAAAACTTTTCGTTCGAATATTTTAAGCAGATGAATGAAAAGTGCTTTAAAGAAAAGGTGAGACTTTAAAACCAAAATTTTTTTTGATTTCTCTGATTATATTTAGGAAACGAAACAATGACCTGATATCATGTCTGAGAGACACTTTCTCAGAAGATTACACCTGTTGCTGGTAACTTCGAAAAATGCCTCGACTATCTCTTAATGACACAGAAACATATTTCACAATAATTATGCATCAAAAGACTTTTAATAACTTCTATGCACATTTTTTGTATTGTTTTCCTTATTTCTCATACTATTCTACAGTTCCTAAATTTTTTTCCTTTTTAAATCCAGGAAAAGGGGAAAAAAATCGTCTCACTTAAGAATACATTCTTATACATTTATAACATTGTACCAAAAATAAAACATTTCGTTTTTGCTCTTTATATCCGGAATCACGTTAAATGCAAGATTGTTATAAGTGAGTATTGTAATAAGAAAAGTACAAATCGAAGTATACTTCCTCATCAATTTCTCCATCTCTCAATGCTTCATGTTGGGGAAGCCATAAGGACAAGCATTTCTCAATAGCTTCCTTTGCTTCCTGAAACAATAATTTATGATCTTTTAATAATTTGTATAAATAAATCACATAACATTTTAGTTAAGTTGAAGTTTAAAACAGCTGGGTAGCTAAGACTGATTTTAGCAAATTTTCACAATTTTTGCAACCGATGGAATAAGTTTTATTCCTGATCTTTTAGTTCTAAATTTAAGCACCTAAATTTTTATAAAACACTGGTTAATAAATTTGAAAATAAAAACTACTTATTTAAAAAAAAATATTAAAAGAATAAACTAACAAACAAATTAAGTGAAAGGATTCAGATTCAGTGTGAAAATGTTGGTGATGAAATAATAGTATTGATTACTAGTATTTCATCGAAGACAATATACATTTAACCCATTTTCAGCCAAAGATGCACTAACGTACCATTTCAATATTTTTTTATTAACACTATGATGCATATTTTTCACTAATTTTATTTTCCTGCTATTGTCAAGGGTTCTTAAGACACCCAAAAATTAATAGTAATTCAATTTGAGTAAACGCTTTCTGTTGAGAAATCTACTACACACTAATGTAAGACTCATTAATTCACTGTCACGACAAAATCAAAAAGAAGAATCTATTTGTAATTCTTTATTTTTTACCACAAAAACGTTTCAGTTACATGGTTTTACTAATTCTCCAAGTCTTTTTGGCGATTTGCTTTTACCAAATTATTTTCAAATTTATATCAATTATTGGTTTTATTTTTGACTACGTTATCTTTCGTTAAATCACCATCCATGGATCTCTTCTCATGCTCCTAACTGTCTGTTGGGAATAATTCAATAATTTTTTAATTTGGCTTTTGTTTAGGCTGGTCATGGGGACTTTATCTCCCAAGGCTTGTTAATATTATAATTCAAAATTAATTGAACTTAGAAAATCTTATTATGGATAAAATATAATTTTTGTATCTCGAGCTCTACAAATACTAAATAAGTTTTATTATAATTATGATCCAGTTTTCATATTCAACTGACATTTTCTTTATCCTGTTTTTACAACGATCTTCAATTAGCCAATTAGTTATACAACTCCAAACACACCTAATTTTGTCATAATAACAGAAACATAAGAATATCATGCATTTGAGGAAAAATTAAAAAAGAGAGAGAGAGAAACTTACATCTACTTGATCCACAGATAGTTTAAAATTGCAAAGGCACTGATAAGCTTCTGGATTCGTAGAATCAGCTTTTAATGCACATTCTACTGCATCAGAACACTTCATTTCGCCATTCTCTACATCACTATAAATAGAAAGATAAATTCAAAGATCTAAATTCTTCAGAGATAATAATTTTTAAGAGAATTTGAAGGTAAATCTTTCAGCCAAAAATAAATACACTTTAAGAACTTTTTAAGTGCTCAAAACATATTTTCAAGTACTTAAAAGTCATTTGAATATTATGCAATCACCTAACAGGGAGAGGTGATTTGTGCTGACAAGGGGGAGAGAGACCTAACAGGGGGAGGTGATTTGTGTGAACAAAAGGAAAGGATTAGATACATAAAACATAAAAATTATCCTCTATGGATTTTGAAATTTTTCTTAAAATTCAAAGGGGAAAAAAAGAAAAAAATACACATGGTAAAATTTTAAATTTGAATTTAAAGTTTGATTTGGGGAAAGAAAAAGACAGTGGAAAAACTTCATCAAAGAATTTCAGAGATCAAGATTTTTAACCACAAAAAGGAATAAAAAAAGATTCCTAAAGAATATTCTGCTCAAAATTTTATAAAATAGATTCAAGATTTGTTTTATAATAAAATATACTATTAATTGCATATCGTTTTTTTTTTAAAGTCTAATATTTTATTTGAATTTAATCCTAAAATAAGATTACTATAGTAAAATTAGAGGGGTGAAATTGTTACACAAGCATGAGAGAGGGTCTGCAATTTCCTTATTTTTGCTAACAAGGGGAGAGGAGTCCAAAATTGGCAACAATATGTTTGCTTAATATTTGGACAGAGTGCTAGTAAATTATATCTAAGCCATGCCCACTAACAAAATCAATTTCCCCTATTGTTAAAAGTTCTAGAAATATATTCATAAAACATAAAATTAACAAAATGTAAAAATCTTTTCAAAAACTTGACAGAACTATGATAGAATAACTTGCTTTTGAGAAAGAATTATAATTCATTAGCCACAAGGAAAACATTTTAGGCATAGATTTAAATATAGAATAATTTTAAATATTCTTTAAAATAAATAATTACTTTATTAAATTATAAAAAAATGTTTCATATTAATTTAAAATTACAATTAAGTTGCACAGATTTAATTTTAAAAAATTATTAGGTGTATTTTTTAGATTTAAATAAAGTTTATAAAAATGTGATGTAAAAGTTTATTATATTTAAGCAATGATGTCTAAAGTTTATAAAACTGTCTGTTTATAAAAGTCTGAGCTGATTAAGATACGTTGCTAACTAAGAAAAACTAAATGAAATCATATTTAGTTACAATATCTCTAATAAAAGTTATTCAAAATTTTAAATGGGTTCAAAAATTTATATATCAGAGTTTAAGGTAGGTAGGTACTTTACTTACATTGAACTAGAGCTGCACAATGGGCTATTGGCGACGGTCTGGGGAACATCCACGAGGATGATCCGAAGACATGCCATCGCAATTCTGAATGGCTTACCTGCCTTGATACCCAGATGACCTGTGTGCGAAGTAGAGCACTTTACGGTAGAACAGCTTAAAGAGGACAAATATCCCGCACACTCGATCTCTATGCAGGTTAATCAAAGTGATCACCCATGCGCTTACTGACCGCCGCCAATGATGCTTGACTTCGGTGCAGAGTTTAAGAAGACTAGAGGCCAGGACAAACTAGTAAAATGAGGAACTAAGGTTTCCATGAAAGTTATCATGAGTTTTTAATTTTTTTTCATGTGTTGCAAATACAGGCAAGTTTCATTAAAAAAAAAAAAAAAAACTAAGGGGCAGTACCATTTCTGAACTAAATGGTTGTTTATAATTGAGTGGAATTAAAAAAGTGGTGGCATTTATTGAGAATGTATTATTATTTTATTCAAACCTTCTAATTTATCTCCAGAAAAAAAAAATATTGATTTCCAATAATAGCTACTTAAGCTTTCTAATTAGGTGAATTCTAGATAGCATGGCTTTAACTGTACATAAGTACAGGGTGAATAGCCAGATTTTTCAACAAAAATAAGCATCTTTTAAGCACTCAAAAAATATTGTTAATCAGTTTTCAAAAATTTTTTTTTTCATAATTTGGATCTGTGCAGTAATAAAAATTATTTTTCCTATTGTTTAAAGTTCTAAAATTTAAAAATGTAAAATCAATAAAATTTAGAAACACTTTCAAAAACTTCACATAATCATGAAAAAATAACTAGTTTCTGATAAATATTGCAGAGGAAATTGTCAAAATTAAGCATTTTTTGTAATATAGAACGACAATCGACATGGCCAAGAAAACATGTCTTTTTAAAGGATAGAAAATTAAGCAATTTTTTTTCACTCTGAATAAAAAAAGCACCTAAGCGGTTTTAAAAATCGAAAATAAAAAATAAGCATCTTAAAGAACTTAAAAACGCTAAGCATCCTGAAGTATTTGGTATGGATTAAAGACACAAGCCCCTACAGAGAAATTTTCACTTCATTCCTGCTGCGTGGAGAGCATTAAAAAAAAAAAAAAAAAAAAGGAGTCAAGAATATGAGTGGTTACTTTAAGGTCACAAGGCTATTGGAAGAAAAAGAATGACACATGCTTGATAACAATAGTGCTTATAAAACACTTTGCATTTTTCCTTTAAAAGAACTGTGTTCTTGAAATTTCACCTCTCCAAGCTTAATGTTTAGACACATTCTTACAAATCAAAAAAATACCTTAAAAGCACAAAGCAATTTCATTGAAAGATAAAATAGGGTTAAAAAAATATATTGTTTTCTTGTGATTAACAGTGATTTTTTTTCCAATCAAAAAAGTGATTCTAGTGCAGGACCGGATTTACGTATAAGCTAAATAAGCTGTAGCTTGGGGCCCCGAGACGGCAAGGGCCCCCAGATCCAACTTTTTCCTTCTTTTTCTAAAGTTTTATTCGGAGCTGGAGCCCTCTGAAGCCTAAAATACATTTTTTTTCTTTTTTACATAGGCGAACGCTTTTCAAAATCTAATAGAAGTGTTTACAAGTATAAAATAATTGTTACTCTTCACTTTTTTAACCAAAAGAGCAATAAAAAGTAATTTTGACTGATGAAAATATCCTGTAGCTTTCGTAGCTACCAGTGATGGGAGTAGTCCATGGATCCTAAAAAGCGGTACTCCATGGAGTAGTCACATAGCCGCCTCAATTTACACTGTGGGAAATGTTTTTAGCTTCTTTAAATTGCTGTGGGCTCTTTTGTCCACAGAAACACCCTTTTGTCTGATTTCTGGGCAAAAAATTTCTAGGGCTGTGGGAGAATCTTGTTTAGGGTCACTCTGCTTCGAAATTTCCGTTGTGTCTCATTGTCGTTAAAGAGCTTCTCGTTTAATTTTAACTTTTCTTTTTTGCAAAATATATGTTTTCCAATTTATTACAAAAGCTTTTTTTCCTTTTAATTATCCTAAATGTTTTAACTAGCTTAATTGTTTAATTTACTTAATTATTGTAAATGATTTTAATTTGTTATTTTCCAAATTAATCGTACATGAATCCGTGAACTCCTTTCTTTCTTTATTTAAATGGTGGGCCACCATTCAATTCCCTCTTTGACAGGCCCATCTGCCAAAATTCTTGATTTGGATTATTTTGGATGAAATTGAGATAACAGATGCGGTTTTACCTTAATTTTACTTACTGCTAATAGACAGAAGCAACATGTGATACTGTTTGATAGAGCATTGAAATCAAGTGATCATCAGCTAAACAAATGTTTAAATATATATGTGAAAAATATTGATCAAACCTCCTACCAAATTTTCCATGTATCCCCGAAATATGAATTATGTTTAATTTGTAAAATATTATATTTCGTACACAAAATTCATTTATTTAGTTAGCTTATGCTTTTATTGTTTATTGCTCATACTTGTTTCTATTTTTAACTCCCTGATTTTCGTTGTTATTATGTGTTTAAAGTTAATAAGGCATCTAAATTTTTTAATTTATAAGGATTTCAAATTTTTAAAGCTAAGTTGAAATAACTTCTTAAAATTGCAAATTGAAACTATTTATAAAATTTTGGCAGATTTGTTTTTATTTTAAATCTGTGCATTTAATTTAATAAAATAAAAACAAATAAAAAATAAGTTTAAAAAATATAAATAAATGGCTGGATTAAATATAAAACTGTGTTGTCAATGAAAAGGAACATATCTTTTAAACAATTTGAGTATTAATAAATTATTTAAGAATAAACAATTTTAAAAGGTAGAAAAGTTCTTTGATTTGTTTAAAAGGCAAATTTTGTCCCATCATTTGATCAAGAGACTATTTAACATCTGTTTCTAAGAAGCAGTAGGTCGCGTGTGGGTGTGTGGATGATGTAAGTAAAAGAGGCATACAAAAAAAGCCAATTTAACTTCAGTTAATGCCCTCGATATTATATTTTTAAACTCCTCACAAAAATGTAGTAAAAAAGATATATAAATTAATTGTCGCAAACAAATTCATATTAAGTAAGAACGAATCAAAAATGATATCGAAATATGCTGAATCACTAATGAGACAGGCGGGATGAAAGACATCGAAACCAATTTGATTAAATAGTAAAACTAGAAAGTGTTTCAAAAATCCGGACATGTATCAGGCTTCAATATTTTTCTTACTGCCACAAAATTTATCAGGGACAATTCGTTAGATTTCAATACTGGTTTTTCTTTAATTAAATATTAACTAATATTTGTCTTTCCAAGCTTTTCATTCTGTAATAACGAATGTCAAGCATTTAAAGTATCCAGTTCAAGAATGTCAAGTATCCAAATAACTTCATTTATTAAATTTAAAAAATAATAATGATAATAAATAAATATCCGCAAGGCAGGTGTGTATATTTGGGGCTGATGATTATGAAATCTAACACAAAACTGTGAGATCGCGGGTTCTATTCCAGCTGATGACAGTTTTTAATTATTATTTCTTAATACTGAAAAATGCATTTCTTATTTTTTTAAAGTATGCATGTTAAAAACTAATAATTTAACAAGTATTTAAAAAACTAGAAAGTTACACCCCCTGTTCATTTTGCACACTAACCCTCATGGTTGCTTCTGATTAATCATTGCAGATTAAGAGGAAAAACTGTTGATTTCCATCTTTTTATTCTACAAAAATTACGATTGAATTTCTATTTACATTTTGAAAATGACTAAAATTTGGCAAATCAATAAAATTGGTACCTCCTGCAGAGTTATTACCCAGTGAAGATGGACTCAAGGGCACTGTGTTCGAATACCAGTGTTGACTGGTCGATACGAATTCTACACCCGGCTTACACCAGCCACTGTGCCGAAGTAAAATATCCTCCGTGGTAGACGGATCATAGGTCCCCTTGTTGTCAGACTGACAGTGGAAAGCTTTTGTGGTTTTCATCATCATGTAACTTAAATGCTGGTCAGTTCCATCAAAACGTCCCCCTCCAAGACAAAAATTTCTTCCAATACTTGATCCTGGAGTTCCCTTGTGTTCTGAATTGAGTTTAAAATTAGAAGTCTAATAAGTCGAACATTAGTAATCGTAAACTCGAAATTGGGTTGGCTGTTCAATGACTATTATAAAATAAACTAATAATTTGGCCGGAAAAGCCTGGTTGGCAGGGCGTTGAACTCGTGTTTGTGAGAATGGGATTTCGAATCTAGCCGGCCGAAGAATACCCATGTATAAAATGGTGACTGGTGCATGTTAAATCTGACGTGGTCACAAAGTCCTCTAAGTTCTCACAACAAATCAATACCTCTTGTCTTCTGCATTGTGTTCAAAATTATAAGGTGATTATTCAATATTATACAGAGTTAAACATTTGTAGTGGTAAACTCAAATTAAGTCGGTTGTTCAACGGCGGTTATAAAAAAAAATAAAACTAATAATCAAATTGTATTTTCTTATGTTCTTTCTAACTCCTTGCTTATTTTTGACACACATTCATAATTTCATGTTTCTAAGTCATAGAGCAGCAAAGCGAAATGTAACGTTTAAAAAAGAAACAATTCAGAAAAAAAAAGAAATCATTTAAAATTCCAAATAACATAGATTCAGAATTTCAAGAAAGAAAAAAAAACTCTGTTAAACATATAATGGTTCTTCTAACACGCCAAATCTTTACTCTCTGCTTAGGATGTTCTTAAAATGAGTTTCTGTTTTTTTCCTCGTTCAAAAAATATGTGTAATAATGGAAAGGCTCTACATTATAGTCCCATCACAATCAATATATTTAACAATCAAGCAATATTATCAAATTTTTAATAATATAATGTTAATATTCAGCAATAAAAAATACGACAGTTTACTTTAGGTGTATGGAAATAGAATTGAACTTAAAAGGGCCCCATCATTTTCAGTAGCTTAGGGCCCCGCCAAGCTTAAATCCGGCCCTGTTCTAGTGATTGACAGATTTTAAACAGGGAGCGTAGCCAAATCTTTCAACAAAAAATATTTAAGTATTTTTTAAGCACTAAACAATATTTTTCAGTACTATATACCACATTAACAAAATTCGAAATAATATTCAGACTTTACATGATCATGATAAAATAACTTGTTTCTGACAAAGTACTCCTTTCTTGATTATATTAGCCATTAAAAAATGATAAAGAGATTTTTCAATTTGATTTCAGAGGGTGGAAAATGAAGCTTGAAATTGAGAATATAATGCAAAATGCAGCAGAGTTGCACATGATAGTGCAAGAATAATTCCCGCTGAATCCAGCTCACTATACGCACACGCGGACTCGCATGTATTTCATCAAACAGGCAAAATGATTGGTGCCATCATAAGCTACGGAACATCTGTCCGCCGAAATGCATTGTGTTTGAATGAATTGTGAAAACGTTGAATAAACAATGGGAAAAACACGCTTTTGCATAATATGTGTCAAAAATCAACATGGTAAAGAAGACAAATATTGAAAAGAGAAAAATTAAGCATTTTTTAAAAACACCCAATAAAAAAAGCACCTTTAGGGATTTTTAAAAAATGAAAATAAGCCAGGGGTGCTAGTGTTACAAAGTGAAAAATCCTGAAAATTCTATGAGTAATAACAAACATCAATTCATATGCTATACATGTTTAATAAAATTTTTTGAACTAAGATTGACAATTAAATGACATACTAATGATGAATATCACACTTTTATAGTAACTAATTTAAAAAAAATAATAATTCTTACAAGAACCTCAATATTGGATTTTTAAAACATGTGAATATGAAGAGCAATGTACGAGTTTTAAATCTAGTGAATGCGATTCACAATCTAACTTTTAAATCAGGTAAATCCAAAAATCGATGTTTAATATTAAAATCGCGAGAATATGAACTGTGATATTAGTTGATTACGGTGCAGTTTCAAATATAAATAATGGCAAAAATCCAAAAAAATGAAAATGGCGAAAGAAAATTTTTAAGCGTCTCGATAACGTGATTTGGCAAAATTTTAAACAATTAAAATTCAGGTGCCAGAACTCTTTAAATATTACTCTAAGTTTTTACTCTTGCCTTAAATTTTAGATTTGAGCAAAAATTTCGGTGGGTGATAAGTTTTGATTAGTGGATCAATGGTATTGGGCACAAATCAATGGTATTGAGAAGCGTGGAATTCGCAAACAAATCACCACTCAGAATTTTTAGACCAGGAAGAAGGATATGAAAAATCTGGAATTTTGGGGTAAAATCACTCCTGATAAGCACCTTTAAACACTTTTTAAAAAGGCTACGCACCCTGTTAAAGTAGAAAAATGTATAGAACAAATCATTATGTTAAAGAATAAAGAAATTAAAGCCAGAAAATGTCTTACCAACAATCAGTCATAAAGATCTCAGCCACAGAACAATAAGCATCTGATAATATTCTACTTAAAGATCTTTTATCTTTCTTATTCTAAAAGATGGTAGACACATATTAGTCAATAGGTTCTAAAATACATTACTCACAAATAAATAGGATTCCTGATCCTGATCCTTGTCATAAAATATTTTATTCTTATTTCTTCATTACCACTTCTCAATTGTCACTTAGATTACTGCTTTTTAAAAATCATCAGATTATCTTAACACTCTGTTGACTAACTATTTCACACAGAAACTACGTCATGTCACCGACTATTATTTCGTAATTGAATATAAAAATAAAGTAAAACATTCTAAACATTATTTAAAGGCCCAAACGTTATTGATCGATGATGGCATTGCTTGACCATCGCAAGTGCAAAAAAGTTTAACAACGGTCAACAACGTTTGGGCAGAAAAAGATTATTCAACTCATCACCAGTCAACAATGTGTTAAAGTAATTTTGATACCCATTTCCGATCAGGTCATTAAAAACACATTATTATTGTTTCTAAAAATGGCTTATTACCCAATTGACCCTTTTGTGAATATGCTATGATTTCTAAGATAATTTCACAATTTTATTACTTGATAATTACTTAAAATACACTGTTATATTAATTACAAGAACAAAATAATGCTAAAGAGTAAAGATTGCAAAACAGACACTATAACAGAATTCAAAATTTAACTATTTAAAATATTTGGAAGTAAAACAGACACCTCTTAAAACATATGATTGTATGACACACATAGTAAAAGATTCCTTAAAGCATTTGCTTAATGCTATAAGGAACCTTAAGTTATGAGAAAACTAGAGCTCAAACATAGAGTTCAAATAAATATAAAATCTTTTAGATTTTTTTTTTAGACAAAAATCTAACCAACTATAGTTCTATTTCTATTTAACCAACTTCCTGTGTATATGTTCATTGGATTTTTTTTATGCCGAGATATTGAAGTTGTAGTTAAGTACAAAATATGTATTTTTTTTTTACTACTGGCAACAGATATATACAACTCTACATAAAAAATAAAGCTGCAAATTAAACATACCTCAGAAGGTTCCATATTTTCAGAATTTTCCAATTCTTTCAGTATAATCTCGATACCCTTTTGGTAATAATTTAGTGATTCTTCTCCTTCAGAGAGCTGGCCCATTGAAAAATATTTTGAGAATCCCTTATCAGGCATTAGTTCAATGCATTTTTTTAAAAGCTATAATTCATGTAAAGAAAAACTAAAACATGCAAAAAGCCATTAAGCAATGAATTACTTAGAAAAACAAGATTTTCACTTGAATAGTTAAAAGTCATACAAATTTCAGTCTCATATGTATATATTTCTGGTTTTTTAAATAAAATTTCAAATTTTTTTTTTTAAAAAAACTGTTGTTTGTTATTTTTTTACTTATTATTCCCCCCTTTTTTTCCATATGTCTTTAATTTTTCTTTGTTTTCACATTTCTAAATCCATCGACTCGTTTAACTATTCATTCATTTATTTTGTAATTCAGTTTGATATAAATTGTGTTTTTTTGCTACTAGCTAAAAACCTAGCAAAACCCTTAATAAATAGTAATGAATTTCTTATAATTTAAAATATTTTCATAGAAAATGTACATGGAACATTTTACAGGGATTACCTATTTAAATTTCTTTTTTACAGATCTACTTAACATAATACTTTAAAATTTTATTGAATTCAATAAAGGAGAAATGCAATGTTTTTGTTTTAAGAAAAAAAAGAAGGTAGGGCGATTAGTAACAATGACAAACAATTATTTTAAACTTCTGACTGTTTCTAAATATTTTGCTGTTTATTGTTATTAATTTTTAAATTAGAAATAAAAAAATTTTAATGTTTTTTTAAAAAAAAATAATAATAAAAAAAGTCATTAAATTATTAAATTATTCCTAGTATTATTAAAGTATTCCTAGTAACTCATTCATTTTTGAAAATTGACCCACACAAAGTTGGTACATTTTAGTTTGAATTAATTTAGATTTGTATTTAATAGCACGATTTTGATAAATTTCAGAAGGCACCATTATAACTTCAGACTTTAGTTATTGATAATTATTTAACTTTAATTTCATTCCTACATTTTAGTGAGGTTTTAGCATTGCCTATTTATATAGCTAAATTTCACATGAAATTTGGCCCCAGAGCAGTGTCACAGTTTATGAAACTCTAAGGGTATTAAATTCATTTTATCTTCTTCTTTCAATAATCTGCATTAAATTTTTCGAAGATATTGCACTATTAAATCAGATTCTTAACCAGAGTTGGGATTTCTAAAGGAAAAAGTATATTTCTAATGGAAAAGAACAGGAAGTAACTAAAATCTAAAAATGACCAATAAAATTGTTTAGTAATAAGTATTAGCTTAAATTTAAACACATAAAATTTTATATAGTAGAAAAAAGTTAAAAGCTTCCCTTCATATTTACTCGTTTATAAAAAATAACTGTTTTAATATTTTACTTTTATACAGAATATTAACGTTTATTTTAACGATTATAATGTATATTTTTAAAAAGATTGTCTTATTTTCCTAAGTTAACTTTTACCATTATTTAGATAAACAAAATTTGTTACTGTTCCTAATACAGTATTAGATTAACAGGATTTGAATCTTAAAATCATATGCTTTAATAATTACTTTTCTAATAAGGAATCCCTCCCATTTATCTGTAAAAATTCATTTTTACTGCTAACACTGAGTATGTGAACGGAACTTGCAAAATTCAGTAACTGTTGCAGTCTCATCGAAAGATGTGAGAGCCCCCTAGTGAATACGAATAAGATTCAATAACTTTCAAGAACAGTTTGAATGTGAACGGTCACTTGATACAAGCGCTTGGCGCTTTTCTCTCTTTTGTAACTCATCTACTTTTGTTGTTCATCTTTTATTGTTATGTTTATTAAATTACACTAAAATGTTAATTAGCTTGGTCTTCATTCGTACTTAGATATTTATTGTTAAATATATTGTATGCCAAGACCGAAAACAAAAGAGTAAGGTTAGTCTTACTGCTTCAAATCATTCAGAACACAGCAAGTGATACCTTCCCTTGATTCATTTTTTGGAAGTAGTGACGCCTCCAGTATAGAACAGTAATCATGAAGATGGGTTACGATTGAAATTAAATGGCACTAAAAATAATCAGTTACTTGAACAGATATGATTTGGATTGAAATGACATTGCACCCATTTACTTACTAGAATTCTAATATAAAAATCTATAAATCAATAAACAAATAACTAACTTTAAAACAGAGACATGAAATAATAAAAAAATGATTAGTTTCACTTTAAAATTGTCAGTAACCACCCAGATGGAAGTCAATTTAAGTGGATGAAGTTAAACCATGCATTTTTTGTAGTAAACACTCTAAACTAAATCAATTAATCAGAAACAAAATGATTACTCTACAGAATAAAATGAATTAAAATTGAATTGTAAATGAGCAATTACTTGAACAAATGAATCTGAACTTCAAACATAGAAAAGACACGTGATTAACCCAAAGCATGTACAAAAATTAATGATTTATTGGAGCGAACAATAATTTTAAATCGTGAAATAGTAAAAAATCATTAGTTGCATTAAAAAATAATCAGCAATAATAACAATGGAGCTGATTGAAAATAAATAAAGCACTAAAAAAAATTAATACTGTGTGACATATCTTTTTTTAAAAGTAGTAACAATTAATTGTAAAACCAGCTCTCAAAGAGAAAAATTTTGTAATAATCTTGAAAAAATAAATAAATAGAAAACTTAGTGACTAGAGCTGTTAAGTAAGAAAAAAAGTCTCACATAAAAGGAAGCAATAAAATAAACAATACATAGTATTAGTATATTAATCAGAACAAATAATAAATACTTTTAGTTTATAAGATTGCTGACAAAGCATTTTCTCAGAAGAAGATTGAAGCAAATGTTAGAATTACTATTAACAATTAACTATAGAGGCAGGACATTTTTAGTGCAAGTAAAATTACTGATTAATGTAGTTGTTTTGTAATACATTTTATTAATTGCAGCTTTGCTTATTAAATCATGTAGTTATTAAAAATTATATTATTTTTAAGAAAAGTTAACACAGTGATCAACAAAGCCCAATAACTACCATGCAGATAGATATCAAAAATATTCAAAGAAAGAATTTAAAAAAAATAAAATTATAATATAAGAAACTAACAAAATACAGTACATTTGGCAGCTATGGTATTTATAAACTGGTTTTAAAAAAATCTTTAAATTCTATTTTAAGATAAATTACAAGTATTTTGAGTTGCAAGATCAATATATTCATTTTTAAAAGAATAAAGTATTAGAAGGCCCTAAACATACTGATAAAAAAAAAACTTTTTAAACAAGTAAAAATTGAGGTTACTGAATATAATGTTAAACTAAGTAAAAATAAAGAACATCCCAACCATTTCAAAGGATACACATTGAGCTTCAACCCATTCACCTTTTTCTATTTTAACGCCAGCTAACATCTCAAGAGCCTTTGAGTTAGTTGGAGTTTTAATAAGAGCCTCATTTAATTTAAGCTCTGCTTCATCGTAATTAAAACTGTCAACTTCAGCTTCCGCCTTTTAAATTCATAATAAAAATTCTGTTATTTTCATGATAAAAATAAAAAATTTATAAGAATACAACACTAAATTTAATTTGAATAACAAGGGATTTCGACATTTATATGAGATATCAGAAGTGAGTCAGTGTATGAGTCAAGTGCAGACATGGGTGCAAGTTGGAAAAAAGGCCAAGACTGAAAATTTTTTGACTGAAATACCTAACATACGCAATACCCCCTCGACATATGCAAACTGTCTAAGAAAGCTTTACCATAATACATCAAGTTTAAATACTGTACAAAAAATATTTATTCATCTGTCTTTTGATAAAATAACAACAGGACATAAGAAAGTAGACCAATAACGTAGACCTAAAAAATATTTTTAAGGACAGAAAAAAAATTCCGATTTCCGTCTTTGAGTCAGTTTTGTTTCCGTCTTACTTCCGTCCGCGGACATTTTCGAAAGACGGAAATCCGTCCTGGGGACGGAAGACTTGCACCCATGAGTGCAGATGAAATCGGAAAACCTGCTGTTATACTTTTAGTTTAAAAGATTATCAACTGATTCAAATACAAAGGAAGGGCAGGAATAAGGAAATTTTTTATTGATTTGGAACAGCATGAAATGCCTTTAGGGTGTTCTTCCATAATAATGGTGACTGATGCACATTAAATCTGTCGAGGTTACAAAGTCCTTAAATTCCCCATAACAAATCAATACCTCCTGGGGCACATATCCAGAAGTTCCCTTGTCTTCTGGATTGGGATCAAAATTACAAGGATACAGAGTTGAACATTGGTAGTTGTTAACCTAGAATTGAGTCGACTGTTCAACGACGGTTATTAAAAAAAATGTAATATCTGGAATGATTTAACATTATTGACATAGGCAAACTTTCCCAGAACAGCAGAAAATGACAGAGGGAACAGGACTGAGTATTTAACTAGGACTAATTATACTCTTGCATTAAGAAAAAACAGCAATATAATTTGATACTCAGAACTATTTTCACTCTTTCATTTTGCTATTAAAATTCAGAATAAAAATAAATGAGTACCATTGCTGTATATAATTTTCTTTTTCGTATCCCCTTTACGATTTTTTTCCTCTCTTTTCTTTTGAGTATCTGACGTGCTATAGCTGCGTAAGCTGAATCCCACATACTAGTAAAATACATAGGATTGGTAGTTTAATTTAAACTATTTTTTACCTTACACTACCTCAGCTGCAAAAAAAAAAAAAAAACTACCAATTATTTCTGAACTGTTATAAGTAGTTAACTATTTGAAATTTATACATTATTTTAATAATTTTGAGGCAGAGTAATTTCAGGGAAATAATAGTTCTTGCTGCTATGACTAGATATATTTTTTATTACAAATTTAGGCTTTTCCTAACTTTTGAGAGCACTGTATGAGTATCAAGTAAAGGTTCAAACCTTGTTATAATTTTTTTTTTCTTTTTTTTTTTTAAAGTGATGTGGAATTACATGCTTCAAAAGAGTTGGTCATCATTGAAATTTGTACTGAAAATCCTACCAATAACAAGTAAAAACATGAAGTTAATTTAAAAAATCAACTAACTTTTATCTGGAATTAACAAAACCAACATAGTAATAACTAGAAGAAAATAACTTTGAAAACTAAACAAAACTGATAATTGGTAAAATTGAATTATCCTAATCCCGATGGCAACTACAAAATTTAGTCTTGGTTTGATATTATATAACAAAAGAATCATTTTGAACATATTTTTAATTAAATATAGTACACCATTTAATGAATATATGCAACATAATTTAATACCTAACCATTTTAATGATCTAATAATCAATCTATGAAATGACAAAAATATTAATAAAATTAAAATACAAATCAAATACTAGGTATTAGCTAAGAAAATTTTTTGAAACACTTCTCTAAAACAAATAAACCTAATACAGTAACATCTCTTTAAATGGAATTTGCTTTTCCTTAAAATAATTAGTAATTACCTCTTCTAATAAAGCCTTGACATAATGATCCTCTTTTTGGTTTTCAGTCAGTAATGACTCAGCTTCTTGTTTTTTTGCTGCTGAAAAATTGGAGAAAAAAAACATTTTGAGAAAGTGATAAATGAAAATAGCCATGGACCATTATATACTTAACGTTAAAAAAATTCATACTAAATTATGTATTAAAACTATTAGGATAGCACCTAATATAAAAAATTTAAGAGCAAAAATAGATATGCAAGTATTAAATAATTAAATTTCAAACTCTATAGATTTTGAAGAAAACATATTTTGGACATTTAGATAAAATTATGTAAGCTCGTAAAGTTTTCGCTTAAACTAAAAAAATAAAATAAATACATTGATCTGAAACAGGAGGTAAACCATTTTGTATTAAAGAGAGAGGGGAAAAAAAGTGACAGTCTGTAGTTCTATAGAATGGGAATCCATTCGAATTTTATTCAAAACACCAAATTATACATATCTGGTGTTAAAATTAGTATACAAAATTATAAGACAAAAATTATAAAAAAACAAACAAATAATTTTGTATAAATTATTGATACAATATTTGTAAAAATGTGACGCAAAGTTTATTTCGGCAATTTATGAAGAATCTTGTACTGAAATCATAAAGTAAAATAAATATAAAATATAACGATAAAATGAGCTATGAAACTAGATACAGAAGAAAAGTGCGCATATGCTAGCCGGGAAACAGGTTTGTTGTCACATGCGGTGTGAAGGTACTTGCAACAGAGGAGAAAAATCGTGTTTCGCATCGCTGTTGCGCTCGGTGTGTAGGCACTTTAAGACAGCGACATTGTCGCAGAATAGTACAGAGTTCTTGCGGAAAGATTTTTCTTCTAAAAAGCAAAAAAATTTACATTTCCTTTCTACAGAAATTTACACAGAATATTTGAATCATGCATTTAAATAATCACTTTTTTTTTCACACCGACATACAATTTACGGCTGTTATAGATATTGATTTTCCTGTGGTTTTTAAATATCTCAAAATATTTCAAAGAGTACGGAAAGTTCGAATGGTGCATTTGAGTATTTACTAATTAAGAAAATAATTCCATCGAATTTTTGGCAGTTATTGCTATTGATTTGCCCATAGTTCTTAAATTCGATATCTCTTATACGATATTAGTTATTACAACAGCCTAATCTGGAAATGAAACACTCATTTGAGGAGTCTGATTCACGTGATTTCATCTGCGATCTTTTTTCGGCAATTAGATAGGTTATATTAGACAGTAGCAATTAGATTACTACAGATTTCATGATTTTTAATTATTTTCTTTTAAATGATTATTTACCAAATGCAAAGAAGGAAGTAATTTGTGCATTTCCCTTCCCCCAACAAAATGCAAGAATATCACCCATATTAGAATAAAAAATTATTACAAGTTCAATTTAAAAAATATATAGTTTTTCTTTCGTAAACACTTTTGTTATTTTAAATTAGTAGCATATATGTTTATTATTAAAAGTATCTTGCCAAAAGATATTAGTGCTAGAGTTTTGGCGCAGATAGCTCGAAAAAATTCTGCCACAGGGCATATGTACATAATTTTCACATCTAATAAAAATAGCATAAAATAGAAAAGAAAATTTATGATTACAGTCTAAGTTTATATGATGAGACATTTCCTTTATCTTCATATAAAATAAGTTATAAATTTTTTTACATGTATTCCAATATTTTGATTATCTTCATATTTGTAATTTAAATAAAACTAGAAAATACCTTTGATTTAATTATTTTACTACTTCTACGTAAACTCCAAAAGTATACCAGTTTCTACAGAATTTTAAAGACAAATTGTTCTCAATAAAGCAAGATTGATTATCATAACATGATTAAACAAAGAGGATACAAATATAGAATCTGTGCAACTGGACATCTGGTTGAATTTCATCTTATTTTAAATCTTTTAAACAGAGTTTTTTTTTAAAAAAAATATTTAAAAAAAAAAAACAGTTTTTTAAAAAAAATATATATATAAAAAAAAACAATTTGGTGGATTTTATTGAGCTTTTTTTGTTGTTGATTTTTTAAGATATTACTTAGTTTAACACTCCTTAGATTTAATTTTTAACTTAAAAGAGATTTAATAAAAAGAAAACTTTTTTTTGAAAAAAAAAAAAAAAAAAAAAAATTAAGTTATGAATTAAACTAAAAAAGTTTTAATTTAATTGCAGTACCATCTTTTCATGCTGGTATTAATAAAAAACTCTTAAATTAATTCTTTCCTTGAGTAAAAATAAAATAATAATATTGGGATCAGAGAAATATGCTTGTTTTCTGCTTTATCTATTTATTATTAAACATTCATAAGCTATAGCTTCATTTTTCAGTTATAAAGTAAGCCTTTTGCAGGCCAACTAACTAAACTACTGTTTATTTAACATTGTTCTTAATAGTTTGAGAATTACTCTTTAAATTATATATTCATAGTTAGCTTTGATTTGAAAATTCCAGAATCAATACATTTAAGATAAATATGAAAATCCTTAAATCTATTTCTTCTTTATCTTATTCTCTATTTTGATTATTTTTATAAAAAAAAAAAACATTTGAGTGCGGGCTTTATAGTGTTCCTTTTTTTATTTTTAAGAAAACACACCCGAGTTTCATTGTACTTGTGGGTGGGTCATTAATCGTGCTTTTAAGATATCACTATAACCTTGTAATCTAAGTAAGATACTTTTGTAACAAAATCTAAGAATCCATCATCTAATGCATTTTTGCAATCTAACCATCCTATGACTATGAAATATGTTTCAAGAAACAGCTAATTGAAATACTCCAGCTTTCGGTACAGATGCTATATTTTTCAGATTCAGCAAGATTTCTGTGCTGCTACTAGCAGGCAGCAAAAAAAAAAAAAAAAAAAGATCCAATTTTGACAACTAGACTACAACAACAGAAAAAAAATTCATAGAAAGGAGCAAACTCAAAGTCACCCCAGGTAAACTGTGAATAAATTTTTTTTTATTAAAAAAACTTTCCATGCCTTGCCAATGTAAGTTTGCGCAAACAGACACAGATATATCCCCTCTCACTCTAGACTGATTATTTTTTCACAACTTTGTAAATATTTGATCATTATATGTATGCTATAATAAAAAATCAACAAAGGACCACATTATAATATCAGTGTTACGTTTTGATAGCAAAAATTAACATCTTTAGAGTAGGTTAGCCTAAGCATGTTACAACTTTCGTATTATAATGCACCTGTTTAGATGTAGAGATTCTAGTTTAATATTTCGCTTTAGAAGTTGTGTTTTTCTCTATTTGTAAAATAAAGTAATTTAGAGTGAAAGAAAAGGTAATTTCTTAGTATATGCAACAATCGGTAAATTATTTAAATTACTTATTGCAAATATCAAACCTAAATATTAATTACAGTGGAGCATCGTTTATACGACGCCGAAGGGACCACCGAAAAACGTCGTATAAACGATAACGTCGTATAATCGATTTTTACTTCTAAAACTGAAACTAACTCTGTTTTCAGTTAATTTTAATGTTTAGCGTGTTGATTTGCATAAATTTCTAAATTAGACAAAGCAAAACAAACAAATAACCAAAGAAGAAAAATTGCAGTGAGCAATTTGAATGTATGTTACTTTTAATTATATTTTCTTGCTATTAGTCACTACAATGCAATGCTTTGAATAGCGAGTTGAACTTACTGCTTTCTATGATGAAATTTTAGATTCTAATCACGGCCAAATCTAATGGCTGAAGCGCACTAGCGCAATTTGCAGGAAAAAAGAGAGCTTTTACATTTTCCAAAATAATTAGTATCGATGGGTGCGCTGGACATTGGTCGATGAATAGCAAAATTTTTATTTTTTCCCTCTTCATAACATTGTCAAGTTTTTTCAGTCATCTAGTAAAAATCACAGTCGTCATCCAAGCATTCTTGTTGGCACCCTTTTCTGTATCACTCATGTTGGCAAATTCCGCCCTTTTTTAAAATACACAAGAAAAAATAAAAAATTAAGTAAACGTGAACAAAATCTAAAAACCGACGTATAACCGATTCTGTGCGTCGTATAAACGATATATTTTTACATTAAAATGAATAGGAATGATTTGGGACCACACTAAAACGTCGTATAAATGTTAACGTCGTATAAGTGATCGTCGTATAAACGATGCTCCACTGTATATCAATTACTCTTACAAAATTAAATATCAATTAGCAGATTGTTACATAATTAAATTTATAATTTTGACAAAATATGTGGAGATGAAATCAAGCATACTGATAAACTCTGGCTGTCCACAATGAAAAATTATGGTTAAGGCGTAGAATCTAGGGACCTTTTGGTTAGGCAATCATTTTCGTTCTATTTAGCGAACATCCCATTTCTGGTTACCATATTCTTTACCCTAATTAGATATCATAGATGCATGCGAGCAAGGCATGCGCGGATACACATGCAGAGATTCTCCAATTTCGCAGATACATTCTATATAATTTTTGTGATACCAAAAATGCATCCAAATAAAAAGCATTTTCAGGGGGGGGGGATAAAATAAGAAACAGACAGCAGCCTAATAATAATTTCTGCAAGGTAGAAGAAGATTGTTTAGCTGTAGGGTGCGCTGCTACCAAAAAGATAAAACTGCTCATTTAACCAAAACATTAGAAGAAATATTAATTAGCTTTATTAATAGAAATTTCAACAAAACCTCAATAAACAATATTCTCAGTACAAATACTACAGACAAAAATTTAATTCACATATTACACTAAAATGAAACACTTAGTTTTACATGATATTAATATCATAAAACTTAGATAAACTAAATTAAATGGATAAACAACAGAATATATAGTACAGGTATAATTGAAATCTCCTAAGTTTGAAAATACAAAATTTTATTACACTGAATCGATTCTCAACACAAACACGTGGAATATTTATTTAATAATTTTGCTTAGAAGATATCCATACATTTTTAATATAATTGGAAAAAACTACCTTTCTTTTTCAGCTTTTGTCGTTTCGATTTAGTCATAATTAACAATTCTATGAAAGTCGTTTTAATATAAATTCTCTTATTACAAAACTACCTATTACTGCAGAAGAGTTGATTGAAAAATATAAACAAAACAGTTTTAAATTGGGTTCGTACTGACAACTTTTAAAATCTGTACAAAGTTGAATTTACGAGTTATAAGCTTGAACATACAAATAAAGTAATGCAACTGAGTAAATTGAAAAAACTGATCAACTGGAAAAAATGAAAATGTGCGAAACTAAATGTTTTACTTCACTTCATTGCAAATTCTACTTTTCTTAAAAATAAAATATCCTATTTCAGTCGCAGTTACGCTTATATTTAAATTTTTTTTTTTTTACACAAACTACGATCAAAACAAAACAAACGTAGCTGTCACACGATCATGTAATTGTTATTACGATTATCTCTTGAAGCGATGAAAAACTGTAAGATGACTTAGTGAAATAAAACCCAGCAAATATAGGAAATTATCTGGAGAAGTTATGAATAATATGTTATTTTTAATATCATTTACCTTAATCTTGTGTTTGTCTAAAACTTTTGCTGTAAGTTAATTTTCTTACTGCCAAGCCAAATAATAGCAGCGCTCTCGATCATTTTTAACGCTTTCTTTTCTTTTGCAGTTGGAAGACTGTCCTGTTTATTTCCATTGCAACAACACACTTATAACTGAGGATAGCAAAGTTAATTCTTACTGTCAATCTGTATATGATAAAAATGTGACAGGCAGATGCTGTAACGTGAATGATACAATTATTGGGTTTGTTACAAAAATTTGTTTTATTTTGACACTTCTTTTAATTGTAATTATATATTTTTAACACTACATTGCCTACATTCGATTCTCTTTTTTTTTTTCTTCTTTATGCGTTGGTATATATGTTTGGTAATTCCAATATCTTGATCTGCCAACTGCAATCACCAAGGCACCAAATGGATTGTAAACTTGCAATTAAAAGAAAAACACGTAGAAGTTTGCCCTTGGATGGCTACGAGTATAGCCTTCAAGTTACTGCCCATGTGTAATTTCTTTTTCTTTTCAAGTTTCTTGCGAACCACAGTCTAGAAGTTGTCGAGACTTAGCAATTATTCTGCTGCAAATCACAATACCGAAATCTTCCCATTAGCACATTGAAGAAAAATTAAAAGGATGTGAGCAATAATGTCGTGCATTTATAAAATGTAATATACCAAAAATCAATTTATTTCCCAAGCATATTTACACAATGAAAATATACTTCTTTTAATGGTATTATTTTAACGTTACATTGCATAGTTTGTAGTTGTATTTTTCTTGGCATTTTAAAGAGATAGGTAAGAAATATATAGATATGTATTATAATGTTTTACCATTAATCAATTTACTACTGAAAGAAGGCTTTCCCCAAACTTTACCAAAAATATCAATCTGTTCTTTTCTCGAATATATTTTAATATTAGAACCTATTAGTGTCATCTCAAATCACTAAAGCATTGGAAGGTTTTAGTACTTGAAAAAAAAATTTTAAGTGAAAAAATGGATAGCTACGAGTTACATCACATCATATAAATTTTTCTCTCTTCTGTGATTTTTTTTTCTAGTTCTAGTACTTACCTTTCTAGAAATGTGTAAATCTTTTAGTAGGTTAGTTGCATCTGTATGTTTAATCATGTCGTCTGATCATTTTTAAATATTAATGATCCATATTTAATCAATTAATATTTGAATTTCATTTAAAATGTTTTGCAGAAATATCTCTGTATTTATAGAAGTCTTACTTCTCAAAAGATAACCTCCATTGTCATACCCAGCTTTTCTGTTTGTGCTTCATAATAAATTCTGGGCTCCAGGGGTGCCTATCCTCCCTAAGGCTGATGGGGATATCTCCCCTAAACTTGAAAATTCTGCCGCCCCCATTTCCGGTAACAACAAAGATCAAAATTTTCATTTTATTTAAATAAAAAATTTTTTGCTATAACTTATCTCAATAAACTTCCCTGTTAGAAGCATTTTGTAAAACATTATTTTCAGAAGATAAAATTAACATTGTAAAAGTAATTATGAAAAGGAAAAGATTTTTATGCATAACTGACCTAAAAAGAGGTGATGCTGTTTGTTCTCTTTAAAAATTATATCAATTTAATTAAACTGGCCACCCAGCCCAAATTTAATTTAACCAAGCATTTGTTCCAATTTAACTAGATGTTTTTAAAAATTAACTTTTTATACAAGAATTAATTTAAAGTTGGCTGAAAGAAATTTTTAAAATTTCAGGTTTTTTTTTTTTAATTGTATACTATTATATACAGGAATGAGTTTTTTTGCTTTTGTCTCTCAAATTTCAGCCTTTTTTATCAAAAACTCCGATTCTCTAAAAGTTTAGTTTTTATATATATATATAAATATAACGCTTTTTCTGAAAATTCAGTCCCTGAAATAAAATAATTATATTTATTTCCGATTTTCAAAGTTGAACAGAAAATTCAAACTAATTTGTAGCTGCTGAACCTTCTGCATTTTTACTTATTTTAGCTATTTTCTCTGCTTTTATGCTCAGAAAATAAGATTTTCTGTATTTTTACCCATCCGCCAGATAGCTTGTATTTTCGTAATTCAGATGTCGCTGCTACTTGTTTTCTGGCACGAAAGCAAGCAAAATAATTAAAAAAATAGCAGGGAAAATATTTATTTGCTCATTCAATTAATCTTGTAAGTGTTCATTTCTTATGGCTAAACAAAAACAATACAAACAAGCCTTTTAAAAATCCCAAGTCCAGAATCTGCTAATATCTCAATTCTTATTCGCGCGATTTTAATATCAAACATTGATTTTCGCATTTACCTGATTTAAAGGTTGCACACTGCTATTCTTATTCACATGATTTAAATATTGTACATTGCGATTCTTATTTACAAGATTTAGAAATCAAATATTGCAATTTGTATTTATGTGTTTTTTTAAAATCGCGATTTTATTGTCAAACATTAATTTTCTGATTTAAAAGTTGTTATTGTTATTCAGCCGATTTAAATAGCGTACATTGCGATTCTTATTTACAAGGCTTAAAAATCCAATATCGCGATTTCTATTTACGCATTTTTAATGTTGAAAATAGGAGCCAACCTATTAAGTTTCAGATATTATAGACCTCTATTATAAATTAAGAATTCAATTCACAGAAAAATGTACGACTCTGTTTATTGAAAAAGTTAAAACTTTAAATATAAAGAAAGAAAATTACACTCAGCAGTTATTAGTAGAAAAATACAGGCATTTCTGTGAATTAATTATACCGCATATATCTATTTACATAACTTTTTCTTAACATACCTATAACACTGAAACTCATCTTTTTAACGATTCATTTTATCAATGCACATGTTTGATAATGGGTAAATGTAAAGTTCTTTTTTTTGCAATGTGAAGAAATAAAAATTTCACAACCAAAATAGGTGTCAAGATATTGACACTTGCTGAAAATACAATACTATTGAAAAAATATTCAAAAAGCTTTAATTATCAAAAATATGATAGATAGGTGTTTTAAGCTTTGATCTTGACATAATATGATGAAAATAGAAAGAATGAATAACAAGTGATGCACAAAAAATATCTTGAGTGGCTAATGCCTTTTTCAACCAAAATATGAAAAATTGAAGATCAGGTGGATTGGTTAGGTTGAGAGAGACCTTAAAAATAAGAGATCACCCAAGTCAAGGTTTTTGATGGTTTTCCATTGATGGACCAACATAATCTTGATAACATAACCAACATAATCTAGTAACCATCAATAATTCCACCATGAACCATTGTATTTTTGATAGTAACCAACGTAAGTAACCATCACCCCAATGTAGGAATTCGAACTGAGTTATGATGGTCCAACATAATAATAACAACTTGTTTTGATGGTTTGTTCATGTTAAACCATCAGAAATAGTTTCTTAGAAATCAAATGTTGGAATGATCATAAACAACCATCATCCCAAAGTAGGAATTCCGACTGATTTATGATGAGCCTACATAGGAAAACAAACTAATTGTTTTGATGGTATATTCATGAGAACCAACAAGAATTGCCATTAAACCATCATGAAAATGTATAGTTGGAATCATCATTTACCATCACGGATTGTTAGTCCATGAGAATCAAACTTCTCTTGATGGTTAACTATCATAATATTAAGGTAGCATTTTCCATCATGGAATGATGGAAGTTTGCTGGCATATCAGAAACCATGAACTCGTAATGGAAAATGTTGGATGATGGTGACCATCATGAATCTCATTGAAACCAACATAAACCAAAATGTTTTGATGGGACCATCAAAAATTTAGACTTAAGCATAAAACAAAAATATGAGACGTAGTACTTTAGATTAGAATTGTTAGGGAGGCAATTGTTCAAGACAGACTGTAGTACCAGGAAGTGAGTGAGTGCAAAAAAGAAGGCTTTAAAAAAATTATATTATTTTCCCTTCAGTGCTACTTTCTTTAGAAATTAATCAAGGTGTTTGGTACATTCTAATCAGAGCCGCGATGACTCAGGGGATAGAGTGTTCGCTTTCCAATGAGGTGAACCAGTTTTGAATCCCAGCAATGGTTAGTTGATACTAATCCGGCTTGCTCCGACCATAGTACTAACGTGAAATATCATCAGTGGTAGACGAATCATGGGTTAAAGTCCCTTTGCCGTCGGGCTAACCGTGAGATTAGCTCCATCAAAAAGTCTTCCACGAAGGCAAATTTCTCACAATACTTGATCCAGGAGATACCTTGTCTTCTGGGTTGGGTTCAAAATTATAAAGCTATGGAGTTGAACATTATGGAGTTAACAAAAATTGAGCAGGCTGTTCAGCAACGGTTATAAAATAAAATAAAGTTAGTGCCATGAGTGTTAAACTATGAACAATTACCAAAAAGAAGCTCAATCATAAATAGAGTGCATGCATCTTTACTTTTATTATAAAGACACAAGGTAATTGCATTCTAAGCATTTTCTAGTTCATTTTTACGCATTGTAGCTTTTACTTTTTGATAATTTGGTTGATCCATGTTTAATGCGTATTCTAATTTAACTAGCAAGTTATTTCAATTTCTTCATTTTTTTAAAACAAGTTTGTGTTTTTTTGTATTTTTTGATGTATATTTTAAATGATTTGTGATACATATTACTTTTCTTGGTTTTCAGACTAGATTTAAGGTACTGTGATATCAAGATATTAAACATATCTCATGCTGTTTTTTCTGAGATTGAAATTTTGTAAGTTTTTCTTTACTGATTCCTTTTATATTGCTTCCTGATTTACTTGCCTTTCTTCCTTGTTTAAGTTACAAAAAATGTCTATTGCTCAGAAACTATGAGATGTTTTTCTATTAACTATTAATAACTGACTTCTGGGCAGTCACAAAACATTATTTCATTCTTTTTTAATCTCTGAACTGGGTTGCTTAGCAACTGAATAAAATTAAGTATTGCTCTCTTTAATTTGTCTATGGTTATCTTAATTACATCAGCGGCAACATCATTTGGCCAATTTTTTGGGACTATCTCCAAATATATATAGCTTCCTAGCCTGCAAATTTATGAAATTTTGTACAACCCCTATTTTGAGAGTCAGGAATTCAAATATGTAGAGAAAAAAAATATGTTTTTTCATTAAAAGTACGTTTTGTGTCTGATTGTGCAATTTAATTAAGAGTTAACAGTAATTGATTAGCATATTTAAAGTTATCCCCAGAAACTAAAACATGACACTAACAAGGGAAACTAGGGAAGTGTGACTCGCCAATTTTGAACTAAACTGGTGGGATGTATGCCTTATAAGGAATAATTTTAGGGGGCAACATTCGTTTCGGCCCATAGAAGGTCCTGTGAGAGATAAAAAATAATTCAATATATAGAAAAATCGGTATTTTATTACTTCAATGCAGACTATTAGTTATTGTAATTGTCTCATAATCTAATTAATTTGTAATTAATTGGATAATTAATTAATTTGCTAATTAATAAATTAATTAACATTCGTTTCGGCCCATAGAAGGTCCTGTGAGAGATAAA